GATTCAGTGTTAAATGGAGTAGTTCAATGATACTTATCAAGTTTAGTATGATTGAGCATATCATATCATTTGTACTATAGTATATAGTACACCAAAGTGTTCACAATGACAATTGTGGTGCATATAGTCATACATATAGCCAGTAAGGAGGAATCATAATCATTTAGATGATGATTTCAAAGAGTTGTGTTTGTAGAGGGTAAGATAAAAGCATAGTAACAATGTAGACATGAGCAGAGAGTGTAAGGCTCATAACCTGTTAGTGTTTTGAGGTTGCAATGATTCCCTTAGAGTAGTTCACACTAGTAGGGGTTCAGTGGGCTCTGCTCATGGTGCATAGGCATTGATACAAGTCAACTGTGTAGTTGGTAATGTGTTGTGTACTGTTATATGTGTCCTATGAGCTTCATTGTCCTTATATTAAGTATTATATATGCTATCTAATATTGTGTGTCTTGGATGTATGTCTCAGAAGACATGTCTAAGACATATGACACATTTATCCAGAATAAATGCTAACACAAAATCAGTATAAAAAGAGTAGAAAAGAGTGTAACACTTACTGTTGGATTTGCTAGGGAGTAGCAATAATATAGTAAGAGTGATAGAAGGAAGCAGGAAGAATAAGCAACAATGTTCACACACACACAGAACTTACATTCAGCCTGCCAATCATTAAATCAACCATGTGACTGTGGACAGTCACAAGCAGACATGCTAGAAGATGAAACAATTAGCATCATACTAAGAACTGTACATCACATGCAGACAATCACAGCAATCAATTCCAAACACCTATGTGACTCATAGAAGCCTACTCTAAGAACACCTAACTATTCTGTATTGTAAGCATTTGCAAACAGAACTGTAAGAGTGTACAGTCTCAGAATTGGCTTACACACATTGTTTTCTCTACAGGATGTATGGATCATGTGCTTATCACAGGCTCAGAACACAAGTTGTGTCACAGTGAGTGGCTCAGCAAACTATCACATCATTATTGTCTAGATCAAAGTACTACAATCTTCCAATCAGATAGGACATTAGGGCAATCAAAGTGTTGATCTCAGGAGACTGCCAGAAATCTTGAAACTCTCTACACTTTGTCTGTACCAATCAGATGATAACAGTATGAGAACCTTCTACTTCTTTCAATGTAAATCTTGCTTTTCCCTTTTGCATAACATTTCCTGTGGCTAGAATGCAGACTACTTAAAATTTTCCTCATACATTTTCACCCTATTTTCTTCCAACCTCTAGCAAAAGGTTCTCTTATTTGTTCTTGTATATTTTGTTATTTTTCTTTTGTTCAGTCATGGCATTTCCCTGTTAGTACTACACTTTTCCAGAACTCAGAAAACTATAAATACAGCTACTCATGTACTAGATACAGGGGGAATTCAGATAGTTCACCCATTGATTTAGCTCTTGTCTCATGTCTCAAAGTCCTCTAGCATGAGGCATAGTTTTAGTCTTTGTTGTTTTCTGTATCAGATTGTTTGTTGTGTGCTTTGCAAAGTGCACTTTCTGTTATTCACATTACTCTTCCAAGGTTGCAACTGCACTGGAAGAACTTGCACCTGTTCAGAACCACTCTAGTCTCCTAAGACTTGTGGTTTAGCTCCCCCTCAAACTTAACAAATCACCTGTGATCTTCTCTTAGACACTACACAGGAGTTTCAATACACTATCCACAATTGTTACAGATGATTGTACTAATACTACTCCTGTATGCACACAGTAGTAAGGAAAGGTATGCAGACTAACAGATGAAGTCAAACAAAAAATGAACACTCTTACTCATATCCTTACTGTATAGTTTTGAAGACAATGTAAAGTCAAAAAAATACCCAATCACACATAGGTCATTCCCTGTGTTCCTGTATGAGGAAGGGTCATACAATCCAGAAGTAATGGACAAGGGCCTATTCTGAGACTGTTTTCTTGTCAAAGTAAGTACACTCCTATTATTATTTACAAATACTGATACTTCTTTTATAGTGCCTTCAGCTGATCTTTACAAGCCCAAGTTCTACAGATGCTGAGTCTGGTAGTAAAGGTAAAACAATGCAGGCAAATAATGCTGAGATTGTAGGTATGAAGTCTGTCACCCTAGAGATGATTGCCTACATATGTGTCCAGGTAAGTACTCAGACTGTGATAGTAATATAATCTAGCAACACTGACAATACTTTTAATATGATAGGTGTGCTTTTTTATTTTAACACTTGAAACCTTCAGTAAGGTTAATGAAAATTTTAATTTCAAAGTGTTTTATTACACTATTCTCAAGTTTTTTGAAGACCACAAGTCTCTATGGGTCTAGGACACACTTAATTGGTAGAATAGGTATGTTTTATACATTTTTAAATTTACTTAAAGCTACATTAACTAACTACTGGGTTTCTAGGCAGGTTTTCAGCTCCTCTGGTGAATTGCTCACTATTGAACCTGAGAAGGACAAGGAGTCATCAATTGCAGCCATTTTGAGAGCTCAGAAGGCTTGCAAAGGGTGTGGACAGTCCTAAGCAGGAGGATTGGCTGGCCAGGGTCAAGGACTGGCTACTCAAATGTAAGACACTCACCTGCCAGACAATACACACATGGATAAGGTTTAGGTTCGTTTTTCCACTTTCTAATTCTACACATTGATGTTCACCTTACTTGCCTCATTTAGCAAGTCTTGTAACTGTTTCCCTTGCTTTGTGTTAACAAGATCAGCTGTTTGTCTCATTTCTTGCTCTGACACTCATACAGTATGCTTTCTGCTTTCACCACTTTTCTTCTCACTCCTGCACCTGTTAGTGCTATAATTAGTATTTAGTAACATTGTAATATTGCCACAAAAATATAAATAATTTGAATCATTATTAATGCATGTAAGGGCAAAAAAGTAAAATGAATATAAGTAGAGTTTGTATATACATTGCAATTCTTTAGTAAGGCTTCTGTCAACATTATAAGGCAGAAAAATGTATATTGGTTTGGAACAGTCTTTTAGACTGTTATATTAATTTGCATACATTATAATTAATACCATCCTTCCTATAGTATATACTCCTCATCATTTTCGAGATCAAATATAAGTCATTTTACTTATTGCAAGGGATAAAAAACTTTATGTACCTTTATAATGTGAACAAATCTTTTATGCCTTATAATGTATACAATGTCTTTACTTATTATAAAGAACAGCAAGCTTTCCTTAGGCTTGAAATACTAATAAACCTTTTGAATATTGACAAACCTTTTGGATCTTATAATGCCTTATACTGTTTCTCAGAAATTGAGATCAATTATTTTGCATTTTACAGTTTTCACAGTATTTACATATTTTGAACCATTATAAGCTAATATAAGCTATAAGACTTTCTCGCGATGAAGCTGTGGAGTGTGACACGGTATATATCAGGTGGAGCATTCTCTCCGCCTGGTACATCGTTGGTCTTGAGAAACTTGTTCGGGGTCTATGAGCAGATGAGTCAATACGGTCAAAAATCAGCATAGCACATTACTCATTTTAAGGAATGCGATGTGCATTTTATCAAAGAGACAATGAAGTCGTGTATCCAACACTATCTGATTCCGATAGTCATCTATGGTCATGGCGTCGGGCTCACCACGACTTGCAAGGAGTCTGCGGAGATACTGAAAAGTGTAAGTCAGTATGTAAAAACACTGCCCTCATTCTCACACCATCGCCTTTTGTAAACGGTATGAGATGACTCGATTCGCACATGTCTGTCGGAGCCAGACTAAATGGGCAGCCACCATAGTATTCCTTCAGCTCGTCCGGTACGACACGAGGTCGGGTAGAGGTAGAGGAACTTCGATCATGGCGAACAGCCCTCAGTAGATAATTTAGGAATCTCATTTCTCCGTCAAAACAAAACACATAGTGATCTTCAGGCATGACATCCTCGTCCATCTCCTCTCCGGTAAGGTCCTTGTCCCCGTTAAGGAACCGAAGTGTCCCATCGATACCTAATATGACAGACGATAAATAGAGGAGCCATTTACGTGGTTTGAGGGAGTAGAGCTTTAAGCGGTCGTGCGGAATGTGCAATAATGACATAAGGTTGGGAAAATATAAACTCAACCAACTGTGACGCGGCAGTACTAGCCTCTTTTGGGCCATACAATGATGGACGAAATAACTTCCTCAAATATCCTCAAATGAATATTTGGGCAACATAGAATTGTAGAGGACATCTGTAGCTACAAATGTATGTTTTTATTTTTCAAAAATATTAAGTACAAATTTTTTTATTTCCTAAGAAAACTTTTTTTGTTAAAATGGTCTAAAATTGCATTTCTATGAGTTTGAGCACTACTTGAAATTTTTCGACCCAGATTTTTGCCGCTTATATAATAAAAAAGTTATGTAATAGTATTAATAATAATACATTTGTCAGCATTTTTTAAAGTAATTTTTTCCAAACACTTAGAAAGTTGAACAAACACTATATAACTGTTTAAAAACTAACTTTAGACATTAATAATTGTATCTGAATAAGTTTTGAACTTGCTAGAGCTGATAAAACAAAGTCAATTTTTTCTGACCTAGAACATTTTGCTGTAGGGTCCTTCCAAAAGGAGTATGTGGCTGTGCTGTGACTGATGTGACAGGTTGGTTGAGTTTATGTTTTCCCAACCTTAGGAGGATTTGCATTGCTGCCAACAGACATACTGTATTTCACTCAGAAACACTCACTTTAAGGGTATTTACAGTCTATAATTACTAAAACTCATTATTATTTCACAAAAAAAATACTATTAGAAAGGTCTTCATATTAGCTACAAAACTTATGTTTTAATTTTTTGTAAAATTAAAAAATAAATATTTTATTGAATTTACACATGAAGGACTCAAAACTGAGTGTTCAACATGATTCACCAGGAAACACACACTTGTGGGAAACTAAACTTAGAGAAATTTGTGTGTGCATTCACTCAGTACACAGACTCAACTTCAATCCTATCCAGACCAATTTACTTTGGTCTGGGCAGAAATAAAGGTAAGTACAGTCTATTAGTCATATACACTCTATTAATTAATGGAATATATGGTTCTTTATACAGGAACAGGCTTGTTGTGATGACTTAGAGTCTCTTGCCTACATTCTAATGTCTGCTTCTTGCTCTCCTCTGCCTCTCATTCTCCTCCTCCTCTGCTTCCAGAATTTGTTACTGTTCCTCTAGTCTGCTAGCCTTATCCTTCTAATGCCTGGGTTGTCAAGTTTGCTCAGTAATCTCTCTCTCTTCACACAGTTGCAAGTGTTCTGCCATCTCACATTGACATTGATTAAGCTCTTCCTTCTTTACTGTGATCTTGCACTCCCTCTACTGTCACAGTTCCACCACTTGCTGATACCTTGTTTGACTGTTCCTGAGAGATGGATTGATGTTGATGATGGATGTTGGCCAAGGCACTGTGTGGGCCTGTTTGGACAACAAAATCCTATGTCTGAGGAAGGGTTGGTAGGTAGTTACTAGTACACACATTCTCCTTCTCACTCTCCAAATTAATGGCTGAGTTGAGAGTACAGTAGGCTGGTCTTGGTCTTGGTTGCTTCCTCAGTAAATCGGCTGTGCTCTTTGTTACAGTCCTTTCTTCAGATTTCTTTTTCTTCTTCAGGTCCATTTCTGCAGCTTGCTATACCTTCTCCCTTTCCCTCTCCCTCCTTTTCTCTTCCTTCTCCCTTTCCCTCTCCCTCCTCTTCTCTATAGTGATTGCTTAATACTGAAACATATAACCTTTAACATATGTATGCTTTACAATTTTTTTTAACTATAAAAACTGTACTAATAAGTAATATAGTAGATTATAGTACTTTTTATATATATAGTTTTGATTTAATTATAATAATTTTAATTCTTAATATTTTCTCTTAAAATTATAGAATATTATAGTAAATATATCAAGAATACTAGTACCAAATTTTTATATATAGTTATAATAGTAATTATTGTAATAAAAAATTCGTAAGTTATAACTATAAACTCTGAATTATAGAAAGTAGTAAAATTAGACTTAAAATTGTATTCTTAATAAGTAACTTAATACTTAACTATTAATTATATAAAAAATATATAGTAACTACATATAATATAGTACTTATTCTCAAAATTTCAGCTACAAATAATGTCTCCTTAAATTAATATTAGGTGTGTTGTGTGTGGGAAAAGTTTCTGTTTACTAAATCAGTACTGATCATCAAAATTCTAACATTCCAACACCAATATCTCAGCTTCAACTCATTTTTTTTTGCTCAAATTTCGTATTTAAGTTATATTTACTGTAGGCTACCTGTATGTAAAATTTCAAGAAAATTTACTAAGAATTGAGGGAGGTATTGTACAACTGAGTGTTAACTGGTAACTGAGTACAAACCAGTGAAACACAGTATACTATAGCCAAGCTCTTGTATTGTTGCCTACTATTAGATTGTGCTCTGGATTAGGAAATCCCCAATTGCCTTATGTAGAATTACTGCACTTGGAATGTCTCAGATTATCAGACTTCACTATGTAGTATATAAGGTAGATACTTACTCAATGTCTCAAAAAGAGAGAGTACTTGGGGCACTCCTGCTATGCTTGTTAAAAGGTTATGAGCCTTGGTGCTCATTGAATGCCCCCACACACTTGCTCTTGCAGAACACCTTTGCCTCCTGCCAGACCACCAAGCCCAAGACCTCCCTCTCCCCCCAAACTCATTATAATGTTGTCTACAACACATACCTTTGTTAACACTATAATGAAGGACTCTGACATTACAAAGTTCTTTGAGGGAACAGAAAAGTTGGCTGGTACAAAGGGATACAAGATATGGTGCTTGTGTATACACAGTACACTTGCTGCCATGATACTCTTAGACCATCTAGAGCACAATCCCCCTTCCTCTAATGATGCTAGTATACATACAGGCAATGTTTTGTATCATTGTATAACAAAAACAATAACTGATACAATTTATGTGAACTTCACAATGCATACAAGTGTTAGAAGTCTTATGAAGGTGCTTTCTGAACAATACAATGTTCAAACAACAATGATGCATACTGTAGACATATCCATGTTGTTTACAGTAAAAGGGCATGTATCACAGTTTGATAAGATGTTAGACAACATTGAACAAATCTACAGGCAGTTGTCTGTACATAATAAAGCCCCTAATAACAATACATACATCTCAGTGATTAATCTCACTACTCCTCATGAGTATAGATGGGTAGCAACAATGCTAGACAGACAGATTACCTATTATAATCAACTACTAATGGTTACAGTAGCTCAGAAAGATGTTCTGACACCAGCTAAGCTGATACACAAATTACAAAACACATATACTGAGTATCATTCTTAGTACTCTCAAACAAAACAAGATACTGAACAAGACAGCCTCCAAACAAAAGGCAAAAGTGTAGCTAAAGGCAAAACAAAGCCTTACAATAAAGTTAAATGCTACAACTGTAACAAGTACAGGCATATGTCAAAAGACTGCCAAAATCCTCCAACAAGCAAAACAACAGAAGCTTGAAAGAAAAAGCATAGGCAAACAGTTACTGCTTCTACTACTACTACTATACTGTCTCAACCTGCACTTAATGTAGTAGTATTCATTAGAGACAATAATGAAACAGTATTCATTGAAGACATTAATGAAACACTGATGCTAGAGTCTGTAATAGCAGAAGCCTCAGCATCAAGTTCCAGCAGCTTACCTGTTCAATCTACTCTATCTGCTGAATCCAATGTATTTTCAGCATTCAAAGTACAAGAAGAAGGTGTCATGCAAGTAGACAATTTCATGAACTCATTTGACAATGTGAAAGAATTCATTAAAGAGTTCAATTACAATCCAAACATATGTATCAATACAATACATTGTAATGATACTGAACTAATACATTGTATTGATATATTGGACTCTGGTGCAAATGTACACACTACTCCATACTTGTTCTGTCTTACAAACGTTCAGAACTCAACCCTAATAAACATTACAATTACAAATAAATTGTCATTCTCACTTAGCAAAAGTGGAGTAATGACATTTAATGTAAAACTATGAAACAAAGCCAATGAGCATACAAAGGTGAATATGATTTCACTACAAAACATATACTATCATCCCAATCTGAACTTCACACTTGTTAGTGAAGTGCTATTATACAAAGCAGGATATGTTTTAATGAAAACAAACAATGAATGTATTATTTATTCTCCTGCTCATACAAAGATTGGTGAAATACATGTATGAAATAACTTGTATATGATAGTTTCTCATTATAATAAACAATCTATTAATGCAATCACTATTGTTGATTTACATTGATGAATGGGTCATGTTAATTTTGATTACTTGTGCAAACTCATGCAAGAGTATCCTGAGATTATAAGTCAAAGGATAACAGACAATAAAAATGTGTAGTGTACAGATTGTATCAAAGCAAACATACAATGTAATGAAATACCAAAAATACAAACAACACCTCTTGCACAATCCTATGGAGATCATCTCCATATTAATATATGGGGACCTGCCCCAGTACAAGCTTACAGTAAGTACAAATATCTTTTTACCATTGTAGATAATGCTACATAATGGGTAACTATGCTACCTATGTAGCATAAAAGTAATACTTTCACTGAATATGTAAAGCATACAACAAAACTCTTTACACAGTATAGTATAAGAGTAAAAACTCTCCAAAGTGATAACAATACAGTGTTTCTAAGTAAAGACTTCACTATGTACATTGAAAGTCAAGGAACAATACATAGATTAACAGTACACAATACACTACAGTAGAACAGAGTTGTAGAATGTATGCATAAGACTATCTTTAACAGTGTATGTATGTGTCTGTTATCAGCAAAATTACCTATGAAATTCTGAGTATATGTGGTACAATATCAAACGTTTATTCATAACAGAACACTGAGAGTTACTATTAATTTTGCAACACCATATTACAAACAGTATAACAAACATTATCAAATAGATAATATACAAGAATTCAGCACATATTGTATCATACAGAACAAACGAACATATAAACTACAACCTAGAGGCTAACACACACAATGGCTAGGTTATGATAACAACAGTAAAGGTCACTTAGTGTGCCATGATAATAAAATTACTGTCAAGCATAATGTACAATTCATAGACAAACCAATGTCTAGGATTGAAGGGGAGAATAATCATAACAATGATACATCAAACAACAATGAAACTCTTCCTAATAACAATAATAAAGATAAAGAACCTGTCATACAATGCTCTACACAAGAGCAAAGACTGGTTAAACGAACTATAGGTTTAAATTACAAAGACAATATAAACCTAACTATGTATCTAACAGAATTTAACAAATTCCTCAACAAAGTCTATAATGATCCATTAACATATTACAATACTATAACGTGTATAGACAAAGAACAATGGATCAAAGTTATGAAGGATGAAATACAGTCACTTCAACAACAAAATGTATGGATATATGCTATCCCCCCTACAAATACAAATGTAATTGGAACAAAATTTGTCTATAAAATCAAAAGACTGGCTAACAGCCAAATAGACAAATATAAAGCACAATTTGTAGTGTAAGAATATACTCAAAAGAATGGAATAGACTTCTATTCTGACAACTTATTTGCTCTAGTAACAAAACTATCAACAGTACAATTATTGTTATCTTAGGCAGCATCTAAGAACTACAAAATACATTAGATAGATGTAAAATCTGCATACCTTTACAGAGAATTAAATGAGGACAAACTCATCTACATGAAACCACTGCCAGGCAGGCTACTTACAGATATTAAACCTAGACAGGCATTATGCTTAAATAAAGCATTATACAGATTGAAACAAGCAGGTAGACAATAGTACAAGAAGATTACCAAACTACTGCTTAAGATCAGATTAGAATGAGCTAATTACAATCACACTGTATTTTACAAGAAACAAAATAATAAAACAATTCTTGTAACATTTATACACATTAACAATATTATGATTATTAGCAAAACTATTACTATAATAATAGTATTTAAACATGTATTAAGGCAACACATTGCATTTACTAACAGTAATGAAATACATTGGTTACTTGGTATTGAAATAAGCTAAGATAGACCACAACAAACAATTAGCTTACAGCAAAAGCATTATATTGAAAGTATAATCAAGCATTACCACTTTGAAAACAAAAAGGTACTATGAACACCTATTACTCCTGGAATAGATCTATCTAACAATACAAACAATATGTACAATACAAACAAAAGTAATAATGAAACAATGCTATACATGAATATGGTAGGATTGTTAAGATATGTTGCAGACTACACACAGTCAGACATATCCTATATTACTGGGCAATTAGTGTGCTACTTACAAAAGCCCCAAATGCATCACTACAAAGTAGTGAAACATTGCTTTGTGTATTTAAAATATACAACAAATTGTTGGCTTCAACTTGGAAGCACAAACACCTTAAAACTATAAGGCTATTGTGATGCAGACAGACAAATGATGGAAGGACATAAAGCAATAAATGGCTATGTCTTTCAATTAGCTAAATCAACCATATCTTGGTCAAGCAAACAGTAAAACCTGGTACCACTATCTATTTACAAAGCAGAGTTGCAAGTGC